GCCACAGCAGCATCCGCCTTCCTTTGATCCGGTTCCTTCGCCCCATGAACGTCACCGGGCAAACCAGATGCCCGTTGTGTACTGAAGCTCGCCGCGTCAACGAGGTCCTGATGGTACAACATCACGAACGCACTTCCTTCTTGACCGAGGCCCTCTAAAAGAGTGCGCCACTTCTTCACGACGTGCGATAATAGACGAGGCCGCGAGTACGGCTGATCCACGGCAAGGATGTACACATGGAGCAGCGAAGAGCTGGTGCCGGCGTTTATATCCATCGCCTTGCCAAACTGCAGCTGCAGTTTGCTACCAGGGACACAATTTTCAACCACCCTGCTGGCATCAATGTGCGGTTGGAAATAAGACTGGAGCTCCACAACGCAGCGTTCAATAATGGGCGGGGTGGTAACCTCTGCCATCGCACGATCAATGTGACGCACCAGGCAAGTCACCATCGGTGGGGCCAACGCAAAACACTCTTGCACGCTGTCACCATCACGCAGTGAAGAAGACGGAGATGTCTCGGGACGCTCTGCCTGCGTCATGCACACTCACTCCTATTCTTCCCGTCCCCTTCGCTCCCTCACTCCTCCTGTGGCCTCTCGTGCAAAGATTTCCCCCTTTCCTCCTCAAGCGGTCCAGCCAACCCTCGCACGCTTCAGTCGGCAACAACGAACCGCAACCACCACGCGCTCCACACTTACTGAGGCACACTAGAAAAGCAGCAACAACAACAACAACAAGAAAAGAAATGCAAACAAAATGACTTCTGCCCCCACCACCCAAGGAAACACAAATAAAAAATTACCGAGAAATGCCAGAAAAGGGCAAGAGGGGGGGAAAAAAAAGAGAAAAAAAGCATAGAGGTAGGAAGATACGTTAAGGTTAAAACAGTCCTCACTGGGATTATTCGCACAAACTTACTTGCACAGGTATATACGCATGCAATTTTGCATTTATCTCTTTCTTCGCTTCACGCAACCATTGAATGTAAAAACCAGAAAGAGAAGGGGGAAAAAAAAAATTGAAAGTACAGCACTTCACCCCACTTGCTTCCATTTCCCTTTTTTTTTTTTTTCCCTTCTTCTTTTCCGTTCCTTCTTCATGTAGATGTCCTATTCCTGCAGTATCTCAAGCAATAGAGACACTGCCGCATGTAATGTACACCCACATAAAGCTTATATGGATATATATATATATATATATATATAGAGAGAGAGAGAGAGAGAGACAGATGTTCATTGGGTTATACTTCGTCTTCATCAATAAAGATGGCATTATAGGCGTTACGACCAGGTTTGTACGGCTCGTATATGGACGGGTCAATGACAAGACCAACATTTTTTTTCTTCTTCTCTTCGAATAGAATGGAGTCTTCATCATCATCGTCATCGTCATCATCATCCGATTGATTTAAAACTATGGGTCGTAAGGGAGATGTTGTTTCGGTGCGCGCTACCTTTTCGCCTTGCAGACGACGAATAAGGCGGTCATCACTGGAGTTGCTGCCGTCCTCTCCATCCACGGCAATGGGCTCTCGCGTCCGTCGTTGTGTTTCCTGCATGCTCGAGACAGAGACTACCCCAGATGCATCCACCGTGATACCCATCATGCGCAGCAGGTGACGAAGTCGCGGGTCCTGCTCTGCACGGCCACGGATGACGTCGTCTACCAACGCCGTCAGAGTTTTCGTCTGCCTCCCAATGTCTTCCTGATGCTTTTCGCGCTGCCGCTTGCGTTGCTCCGTCTCGTTCCCAACGTTGACTCCATCCACGTAACTGTCAATATTGAAGACGCCCTTCTTTTGGTACTCCTCATAAAACTCTCGCTCCTCTTTGCCGTACTGCACAAGCTCATCATGCTGCAGGTAGACCTCATGCGACTCAGCGTATATGATGCTGTCGGCTAATTCGGCGAGCACAGCGTCTTCTTTGAAGAGCCGCGCGGTCGAATCCCGCTGTTCATCGGTCAACGCCGGCACCTCGCTTGACACCTCCAGTGAACGGCCAAGGAGTTGAATCATAGACTGCAGGCGTAATCCAGTCAGTGCGTCACGTTTCAACGAGGCCTCCTCCACAATGGTGTGAAAGAGCCATTCTTTTGCCACTTTTTGTTGGAACATGCGATGCTCCAACGTCTGATAGCACACGAGACGGTACACAAAGACGGGTCGTGTCTGGCCATAGCGGTAGGCACGTCCAATTGCCTGCCTGTCATCTGCTGGGTTGAAGCCACTGTCTGCCAGAATAACACGGGTGGCGGAGGTGATGTTGATGCCAACACCCCCTGCCTTCATGCTCAGCAGCAAAACATCGGCACCACGTAAGGAATTAAAGGATCGCAGGGTGTTCTCACGCTCAGCCCCACTGCTGTTGCCGTCCAGTCGACAAAATCGAATAGGACGTGGCAGTGAACCATCCTGCTGCCATCGACGGTTCATTTCAGCGATAATTCCCTCAAAAAGGCTTAACATTTTTGTGGACAGGCTAAAAAATAACGCCCTCTCACCTCGCAACATCGCTGCCTTAATAATCCGTATGGCAATGTACAACTTGACACCATCTTCAGGTGCGGCCGTGTAGTCCGCTGGGGGCTGAAAGAGCTCGGCATATCCTTCATTGACTGGTCCAGAGAATGCCGTGCGTCGCCGATCACCATGCCCTCTATTTCCTTTCCCCATATTATCACCTGCATTATTATTATTATTATTATTATTATTATCATCATCATCGGGGCTGCTCTCCACCTCACTCAGTATTTCCTTCAGTGGCGAAGCCGGATCACTATCAAAGAGTAACTGGGGATGGGCGGAGATCTTGTTGGCGTATGTCACTGCCTGAAGAAAGTTGAACTTCGACTGCTCCAATCGCGCCAGATGGAGAAACCGATTGTACAAACGCACCTGCAATGCAGAGAGAGGAATAACAAGAACGTACTCATGCAGGGGCGGCAGCTCATCTCTTAATGGGGTGCTATCCACACGTTGAACAAAATGCCGCAACTCTCGTATCAGCGCAAATGTCTTCATACGGGCTGTGGCAACCACCCTTGAACTGGCCTCTTGAGCAACTGAGGCCTCAATGGGATTAATGAAAAACTCCTGAAATCGCCGTTTCTCAAAGTACTTGTGAACTGCAAAGTCCACCATGGCCCAATACTCCTGCAGATGATTCTGCAAAGGTGTGCCAGTCAAGAGAAGTCGACGCAACGGATGTAAACCACGAAGTGCTGCAGAAATCTGCAGACGCGTTGACTTCAATCGATGTGCCTCGTCACATATGAGCAGATCCGTAAACTCGCATCCCTTTTTATCCTCTCTTGACCCCTCTTTCGAGAGTTTCGTGAGGCCAAGAAGCATCTCATACCCCACAAGCAAAACACCACCCTCGCTCCACCAACTCCTGTACAAGTCTAACCGCCGCTTCATACCGTCACGTTCATCAATCATGATGGGAAGAATGCGATGCGCAAGTGGAAAGTACTGTGACCACGTGGAAAACTCCTTCTGCCATCCCGGTCGTGTGGATTTTGGAACAACAATTAACACCCGCTGCGACCGCCCAAGACACCCGCGCTTTTCATTAAGTAAAAGATGCAAAAAGATGACCACCTGGCAGGTTTTACCAAGCCCCATGGTGTGCGCCAGGATGCAGCCAACGGCAGGAACTCGCCCAATAGGCCCCTCCGCAAGAATACTCCACAAGAAGCGGATGCCGTCTATTTGATGTGGCCGCAGATGCTGCAGCTCGGGTAAAACATTCTTTGCCACGGATGGGCCGAGGACGCCAAGAAGCGTCGCTGCTGGTGGAACAAGCGCCTCTGGAAACAAGACATCGTCTCTGGACGAACTTCCGTCACCCCAGTTGGATACATTGACTATACGTCTCCAGCGCTCCAACATGCTCTTTTTCATCCTAGTCGTTTTTGCCGCCATCTCTTCTGCAAGCCACTTCTGTACAGCGTCAAAACGCGCCTTCGCTGCCTCTTTGCGCTGAAAAAAAGGCTCCAGCACGGCACGCACATCGGCGCATGTCATACTACGCAGTACCGCTGTGCTCGTGAGGGGTTCGTGCGGCTCCAATGTCCCCCTGTCCTCCAGAACACCAGGGCCTTGGCTCAAGCGCTTTTTTTCCTCACCAACTAATTGCTGAGCAAACAAGCTTCTATCACTGTCACTGGAGGAGAAGGAGGAGAGGGAATCCGCATCAGTTGCCCGGGCGCCCGTGTCAGGCAACAATACAGAGCGGCGGTCCCTGTCGCCGAAGAGTACCTCATCGATAAACATATTTTCGACACCGCAGTGCCGGGAAGAAAGATTTGAACGGGCGTCCTCCGCCAACGCCGACACGTCCGCTACGTTTTCACCGTCAGTGCCATCCCCATCCTCGCTCTCGCTCGTGGAAATGACGAACAGCTCTGGTTCATCCATCCGTCGCACAGTTGCCCTTCTTCTAAAACAACAACAGCAATAAAAGGCACTCGGGCCAAAAAAAAAAAAAAAAAGGAAAAGAAAAACATTTAAGGTAAATAAAACAACGGTGCATGACACCAAAAAAAGGGAATGGCAATGAGCCGCACAAAAGCTCCTCACGAGTACGGCGATATAACATGCGCTAATTTGCGTGAACTGCCGGAGCCCTCTCTTTTTTTTTTCTTCTGTTTTCAGCGCAATTCGTTGCATTTTTTCCTCTCCCTCTTCTCACCATGTGACTGTCAGACCGTACCTCACAACATGAGGACACCTTTTGGTGGTTCCCTCCGTCTCTCCCACTAGGGATGGTGCACCAGCGCCCCGCGTTTCCTCCGCTCCCTCGCCAGGCCAAGCCGGCAGCATCGTCTGCACCTCCACAACAAAACCAACCATGGCACTTGTTCCTGCAGTACGCTGGAGGGTGATGCAAAATGTTTCCCCTACGGAGGCGCGATTGCCGGAACGTGGAGGAAGGCTCACCCATTCACTCGCATCAGCGCCCGCCGAAATAACAAGCGAGGCGTCAAACACACCGCCTACCTGCTTCTCCATTGTAAAGCGGCGAATGCAGAGTACATCATCGCCGAAATTCCGCCACGTAAACCACCTCCGCGATTCGTCTGACGCCGGGTGGCGGCTTTGCTGCTGAAGAACAGGAAGGCAAAAAGCAGCAGCCAGCTTTACGGTAACTAACTGACAGCGCCGACTTTCACTACCACCGCGTGCTTGAAGCACCTGCACAATCTGCTCAAATGAGGGATCCCGTCGCACGCCATTTACTACAAAGAGAAATGAGGAATCCCTCTGGTACGCCGTCGCATTCGTCTTCACGCCATCCTGGGCAGGAGGAATCACCATGGCAGTTAGGGGTAAACGAATGTTTTGCATAAGAAGAAATGGAGCTGTCGCGGCACTCTCGCTTTGCTTGCCCCAAAATGGATGGTTACTTGGAAAGAAAAATCCATGCTGCTCCATCTGCGTTGTCCGTGTCAAGGCATCAGCGTTATCCGGAAACAACACAACCCCCTTCTTGTCTCCCTCTTCAGGGGACGCTGTAGGCGTTTCACACGGCGTTGCGGCCGCCATCTCCCCCGGTGAAGAGAAGGGGATCCATTCAGGTAAATTATCCCTGTTCTTCAAAGTTCGCCCATAAATGGCACTACGAAGCTCCTCCAGCACAACCGCGGAGTGTTGCGGAGCTCCACCCCCATCCCCCATCGTTCCTTTTTTGTACTCCGCGTTGGCCACACGAGATAAACTCAACAACATCTCTTCTCTGCGTTTTAGCTTCTCATCACACGAGCGACGCCAATCACCAACTGCACGGTTGTAGGACAACATCATCTTCGATGCCGTCGCAGCCGACAGGGAGGCAAGAAGTCCATCAAAATCTTTACAAGCAACACCGTGTCGCCAGTGACAGTACGAGCAGCACGCCAAATAGAGTACTTCACGCGAAATGGAGATGGACAAGGCAGAAGCGTTACACCGCGGGCAGGCATAGCAGTCTGGGCACACCGCAGGCTCACTGCGACGTGAGGAAATACCTCGTGACGCACCCTTCTTACTGCTCCTCTGGGTAAACAGGGACATCGCCTCCCTTGCGACACACTGCTCCCTTCCACATGCCCCGCAGCGCCAAAGTAACGCAAGGGGACGGGGGCTGCAATTTGATTTGTTAGGATGCAGCAAATAGGGAGACACCAGTATTCCTTCCGGCAACGTTCCAGTATCCACATGATTATCAACTTCACCCCCACCAACCTCAACCGCAGCTTTGTCAATCGACGCTGTTTTGTGGCAGGGGGCAGGAATAACGTAGCAGTCTTGCAGTGCACAACGCGAGGAGAAATCGACGTCCGTAAGATGAATGGAAACTTCCATTCTCGCACACCATGCACAAATCAAGAGCAAAGAAAAAACAAACAAACAAAGATACAACTATTTGAACCAATTACCCTTTGTTTTCCACTAGACAGCCTGCCCTAAACATGTTATTTCTTCCATATAAAAAACCCTGGAGCAAAAAAGCAAAAAGGAATAACCAACCACAAGAATGAGGTAGATACATAAAGCCCATTTACATCCCGACCTCTACAATCCGACGAGATGTTGGAGTCTTCGTTCCCTTCGCGCCACAAGACCTAGTACTGTGGGATGAGTCTTGGACAGAAACAGTGCGTCCAACATCACTCAATAAATAAATAAATAAATACATTTACATGAGCATGCAGGGAAATGACGAAAAAAGAGAAAAGAAGTTGACGGCCACATTTCCAATTTCTCCATTTCTCCGTCCCGCCCAATCACCTGGCGTCATCACATCTAAAAATGGCAGCGTTCCACATGCCCGTCGCTCTCCACATTTATATTTTTTCTTCACCCACTTTCTTCCTCCATAAATACGTCCCCACCTGAGTTTGTTTCTCCTCACTTCTCAGAATCTTCCCTTCTGCCCCAGTTTAACGCCGCCGCTCCGCTTCTTCCTTCTCCTCCGGATCCACCGGCACCCCGTCCAACTTGGTGAGTTTGGGGAGACGCTGCAATACCATGTGCCGATACTCCTGCATTGACGGCGCGTTGTTACAGATAGGGTTGTTCAAAAAAAGAACATCCACCAGCTCCGGACACTGGTTGGCCAGGCGGTCAATCTCCGTCCAGCTACTGATAAGGTTATTGCTCATGTACAGGACCTTCAAATTCTTTAGCTTGTCGAGTCCCGTAAGCTTGTCAATCTTGTTATAAGAAAGCCACAGCTGCTCCAGTTGTGGGATATCAAGCTGCTCAATCTTACGAATCACGTTGCGTCCAAGTGAGAGTATCTTCAGTTTCTTCAGCTCCCTCAGACCGGGCCCGATCTTCTCAATGCCGTTGGTGGAAAGTCCAAGATGTTCGCAGTTAACAAGAGTGGCTATGTCCTTGTCCATCTTCACAATCGGAGGCAGCATCCCAATGAGCAAGACTCTAGGCTCTTCCGCGGCCACAACTCGCGGAGCATTCGCCTTCTCCTCCTCTGACATCTCACTGGTGCGGCGACGGTACTCCGCCTCCTCGAAGCGAGCGATTGCCTCCTTCACCGACGTTGCAGAAGCCATCGTGAGCTTCTCGCTGCTGTGATGGTACTGGTGCTGCTGCAGGCTCCTTTGGTCGCACAAATGCATGCAAAGGGGAAAAACGCACAAATCGCACAACAGGAGCGGCGCAGCAAAGGAAAGGGAGAAAAACGGCATGGGAAAAAAAGGGAAAGAAATTTGCTAGCCGGGATGCACACAGAGACACACGGGAGGCAAGCACCCCCTCCACCCCGTCTCACAGCCCCACGACTTCCCATATACGGCCTCAATCTGCTTACACTTCCCCACACACCCGCTCCCGCCTCCTCAGGTGGGCTGCGGGGCATACTCCTGCTTCGGCGAGCGAGGCGGTGGGGATAAGCCATTTAAAAAAAGTAAAATAAGTACGTTCACACAGTCCGTTTTCATTTTGTGCACCCACAGGCGCACACAAATAAATGCTGGAAATAATGGATGGGAAAGACTTGGTCAGGTATCTATGGTAGTCATAAAAAAAAAGACAAAGTGGCATGTCCACAATCCTCCACTGACAGGGACACTCGCATTAAAAAAAGGTTTCCACTTAATTAGTAAAAAAATGTTCAACAATAAGAGAATCAACAACATGAAGAAAAAAATTTCGACGCTGACAAAAAACATACCCTCCATGCAAACCACCCAGGCAAGAAGCAGCCGTCCATTTTTGGTAATCCACGTGAGATCTATCGCGGCAGTCCTTTCATCACCGCCATGGCCAGGGAGGAACCCAAAAACAGGCCCAGCAGGAGTGACAGGCTTGCCATGATGCCAGCAATGGAGCGCTGACCGGCCATCGTCAGCGACGGCGTGCGGGTGCAGTGGATCATCGCCATCCCACCAAAGTAGCCGTTGGTCAGACCCCACAACAGGCACATAATGTACGGGGGGACGTCACCAGGGATGATCCCGCGCACACACAGCACCAGAAACGGAACGATGAGCGTGCGCAAGAACGACCCAGCCAGCACAAATCGCGGTGAGGGCCGCAGACGTTTGAAAAACAACAGGAAACGCGACAAAAAGTCACCAAGATTGAACATGGCAACAATGATCGTCGGGTACCAATCTTTCGAAGTGCTTGCAGCAAAAAACACACCGGGAAAGATGAGGAGGGTCGCACCAAAAACAACAAAGCACGAGAGCAGCATCGGCCAGATACACTTGAAAACGGTTGCTATCTGCGCATTCAGCATTTGCTGTGTCGAGGTGATGTTTGCCACTTGGTCAATGTCCTCCATATTGTCCGCATCACCCTCAGCATCCATCACATTCTTCTTGCACTGCGCGTCGGAGGATGGAATGTCATACTCAACCTGCAGCGCAGAGTCCTCCTTCGTGTCCACGCTACCCATGGGGGCTAAATCGCCGTTCGTGGGGGCACGCTCGTTGCTGTGTGCACGCATGTACCTGAACTCCGCCGTGTACTTGCGCGCAAAGGGGTTCCGTGGCATCACCACCAGCAGGGTACATGAGATGAGCTGAATGCCCATCGCCAAGCCAAAGTAGATGCGGGACTGCGTCTGCACACTTTCAAAGTCTTTCGACATGGATGCCTTTATGATTATGGACATGGCTGATGAGATGATGCCAGAAACACCGAGGCCCCAGATGACCGAGCCGTAGAACTTTGTCGGGAACGGACCCGCAAGAGCACCCGTGGTGGAGTCGCAGAGCGTCATCGAGAGCCCACTGACAACAGCAATGATCATGACTGTGATCTTAGCACCAATCTCCGACGTTCGGGCAAGCGGAATAAAGATCAGCGCGAGCATTTCTCCAAACGGGATGAGAAGACCAACAATAAGGCGAGGACGTAGAGGGATGCTTCGGCCCAGTGGTGTCAGCATGAAGGCCTCGCACACAGTCTGCGTGCCAAACACAGCCACGTTGAAGTATGTCAGCACGTTATTCCAAAAGACCGGATCCGCGGGCTTGGCGTTCTTGTCGCCCTGAGCGTACTTGTAGTACCCTGTGATGAACGATGGGGCTGCCGTGATTGCGTTGGAAACCAGCATGATCGATACCCCGAAGAACAGGAAGGTGAGATAGACAAAAAACTCAGGCCATGACTGAAAGCCAATTACTGCCATTGCTGTGTTCTAGCCTGGAGGCTACTGGAGGAAAAGCGTTCTGGGGGAAAAAAGGCAAAGAAAAGAGTGTGGTCAGGATGCATACGCTGCGCTGGCTTCGCGGATGTGCGATGCTGGAGAATGGCCAGGGCAGCACAGGGAGAAACCAATAACAGGTGGGCATTACGTTTAAAGCATTCTGATTTTCTGGTGCAGGAGGAGAACTAAATAAGCCAAAAAGAAGTTTGTGAGGATTATCCAGAGCATCGGTGGTGACATTCAATGCCATAGATGCAGTGGTCTGTGCAATACGGGAAACACTGTCGTAGCGTGGGTGACACGATATGTTTCTCCGTCTTGTCCGTGCAATTTTCTGCTCGGCATCGTGCTGTACGTCCTTGACTAGAGGGAACGTGTGCTTGTCGCCAACGGACCGTCTCTTCCCCACCGAGCCACATCACGATGCAGTAAAACAGGCAAAAAGAGAGCCGCAGAACGATCAGTTCATTTTTTTTTTCTTACGTTATGGAGGCTGTGGGCCAAAAATGTGGAGGGCGGAGTAGTGTCAGTATGTTTTACAATCGGGGATTTCACTCCCCTCTCTGTTTTTTTTTTTTGTTGCTGCTGCTGCTGCTTCGTTTTGGTGGGGGTTGTGGCGGGTGAAGCAAAAGGCCTCGGGCGACGGTTTATTTCCTCAAAAATTCCCTAGACACATTTTTTGTGTGCGTATTGCTGGCGCGGGATGATTTATGCGAGGCCGCTGTTACTGAGAAGGCCACCTTTACAATTCCTTCTTTTTCCTGCCACGGCGGGCGACTGTGCGTCTCGGTGCGTCCTCACTGGCGTCGTTCCGTGGGGAATCCGCCACCACTGACTGGCTTTGCTTCGCCGCCACCGTGCCGTCATCCCGGCCTCGTTTGATCCGCTGTTGGGTGTTGCGGGTGTCCTTCTTTCCGTTGCGAGGCGCAGCCTCCTCCTCCTCCTTGTGCGTGCTGCTTGTGTTAATTGCTGCGGGCGTGTCCGCTTCTTCCGCAGCGGGGGATCGTGATGGGGCTTCCACCACACCGCCTGCGGCATTTTCCGCAGCTCGCTGGGGTGAGGAGGACATCCTCTCGAGAGTCGCCGCCGTGGTCTTTGGATTCGCTTCGCGGTCAGGCACCAACTCGTCAAATTCGATGTAATCAACATCTGCGGGCAGTTGCAGCCGCATGCGTAGCTCCCTTGGAGTCAACCCCATTCGTTGCGAGATGTGGTGCTCCAAAAGGTACACGTTGTCCGTCCACCTGTTGGCAGACTCCAGCGCCACTCTTGTGGTGGCTTTCACCTTCTCAACCATGACTGGATCAAACACAGCCGCTTTTTCCAGCTCCACCCGAAGCGCCTTGACCTCCTCCTGCAGCTGTCGCATCTTCATGGTGTCGTGACGTACGGATGCGTCATCGCCAATTCCCGCACACACCTCCTGAATGCGACGACGCGCCCCCGCTTCCTCCTCTCGTAGCGCGTTGAGTTCCTTCTGCATCTGCGGCAAGCTCAAGTTCATGTACCTCGAGACGACCGAGGCCCCACCACCGCCGGTGGCGTTGAATGTCGCAGCCAACTGCTGCGCCGCCGTCTTGGGGAACCGCCAAAATAAAACGTGAACGCCGATCTTCTTCTGGCAGATGCGATTCTCGGAGACGAGAAGCTCCAGACATTCCTCAATCGACTGAGGAATGACGCCAGTCGCTTTCGGCAGCACGAGCAGCAAATCCTTCAGCGTGTACGGTGTGGGGTGAGAAATGAACCACTCCTCGACCCGAGAGACCTTCTCTTCGATCGAGAGGCCCCGCTTCTTAGGCGCCTTGCTCATCCTTGGCTCGACCCGTTCCTCTTTCTCTTCCCTTCCCCCTTAACGCTCCGGCACCGCCACCGCTGCTCCCTTCCTCTATTGTTTCTGCCCACTGACCGTCACACAGGAGGAAATAAAGGAAGACAACCCACGTGCACACATACAAAGTGACGTCCTCTTTACATCAAAGCATGCAACAAAAAACACTCAGAGTCCAACACAGCAAAACATGACGGAAAATCCCAGCGCCACGACAGTCCTCAGACCCGTGTATATTTCGCTCAGAGCTCAAGAAAGAGACTTCCTAACAAGTCATCCCGTTTCAGTCAGTGGCTCATCCACGTCATAAAAAACCTACGAATTGTTGAAAGCATGACGGAGAAAGCAGAAGAACCCACCACCCATTTGGTCACGAAAAATAAAGAGAGGGAGAAGCACGAATGTCCTGGTATTTTTCACACAATCAGATAATAACAAATGGGCAAACAACACCAACGGCCCATTAAGGGTTATTTCCCTTCAATCGCGGCAAAACCTTTGTTTTCCTCGCCCTTTCTCTCTCCACTCGCAGGACCCATCAATGCTGGGGGCTCAAATGTGGTCGCGTTGGTGAAGATATTGTAGTACAGTGCTCGCCCGTCCATGGCAGGGAGCTCCCTCCATATATTGGCTGCCCCACAAGGCCCTTTTGACGCCGCCGAAGAACTTCCGATGCCCTCCTTGCTGAAGTGCTGCGGCTGTGCATCAACTCCAGCATCGCGCCATAAAGAAGCCGCATCCCCGGATGGTGGCGGAACAGGAGTGGACGGAGCCTTCTCGCGTGGCTCCTGCAGTCGTCGCGTCACCTCAGGCGGCCAAGACTCCGAGAGAGGCGGTGGAACAACGCCCAGTGGCTCCAGTGCCGCCAGCTGGGCCAGACGGTCGCGTGCCACACGACGACCCGCATCGGCCCCCAGCCTCTCGCGGCAGAGGCCACAAAGACTGGCATGACGCACCGTCACATACTCGGAGCCACAGCTGCTCCAGTTGTGGGATATCAAGCTGCTCAATCTTACGAATCACGTTGCGTCCAAGTGAGAGTATCTTCAGTTTCTTCAGCTCCCTCAGACCGGGCCCGATCTTCTCAATGCCGTTGGTGGAAAGTCCAAGATGTTCGCAGTTAACAAGAGTGGCTATGTCCTTGTCCATCTTCACAATCGGAGGCAGCATCCCAATGAGCAAGACTCTAGGCTCCTCCGCGGCCACAACTCGCGGAGCATTCGCCTTCTCCTCCTCTGACATCTCACTGGTGCGGCGACGGTACTCCGCCTCCTCGAAGCGAGCGATTGCCTCCTTCACCGACGTTGCAGAAGTCATCGTGAGCTTCTCTCTGCTGTGGTGGTACTGGTGCTGCTACAGGCTTCTTTGGTCGCACAAATGCATGCAAAGGGGAAAAACGGCATGGGAACAAAGGGAAAGAAATTTACTAGCCGGGATGCACACAGAGACACACGGGAGGCAAGCACTCCCTCCACCCTGTCTCACAGCCCCACGACTTCCTATATACGGCCTCAATCTGCTCACACTTCCCCACACGCCCGCTCCCGCCCCCTCAGGTGGGCTGCGGGGCATATTTCCTTCTCCTGCTTCGGCGAGCGAGGCGGTGGGGATACGCCATTTTAAAAAAGGAAGGTAAGTACGTTCACACAGTCCGTTTTCATTTTGTGCACCCACAGGCGCACACAAATAAATGCTGGAAATAATGGATGGGAAAGAATTGGTCAGGTATCTATGGTAGCCATAAAAAAGACAAGGTGGCGTGTCCCCAATCTTCCACTGACAGGGACACTCGCATTAAAAAAAGGTTTCCACTTAATTAGTAAAAAAAATGTTCAACAATAAGAGAATCAACAACATGAAAAAAAAAGTTCGACACTAACAAAAAACATACCCTCCATGAAAACCACCCAGGCAAGAAGCAGCCGTCCATTGTTGGTAATCCACGTGAGATCTATCGCGGCAGTCCTTTCATCACCGCCATGGCCAGGGAGGAACCCAAAAACAGGCCCAGCAGGAGTGACAGGCTTGCCATGATGCCGGCAATGGAGCGCTGACCGGCCATCGTCAGCGACGGCGTGCGGGTGCAATGGATCATCGCCATCCCACCAAAGTAGCCGTTGGTCAGACCCCACAACAGGCACATAATGTACGGGGGGACGTCACCAGGGATGATCCCGCGCAAACACAGCACCAGAAACGGAACGATGAGCGTGCGCAAGAACGACCCAGCCAGCACAAATCGCGGTGAGGGCCGCAGACGTTTGAAAAACAACAGGAAACGCGACAAAAAGTCACCAAGATTGAACATGGCAACAATGATCGTCGGGTACCAATCTTTCGAAG